ATCCCCTATTACCTTTCGGGATTGTCTCGTGCACATTTTTTTCCGACAGCCATTCTCGAAATAGCTGTACACGCTTTGGCCACTTTTGGAAGCATGAAAAATAAAAGGTGTAGGCATTTTCAAAGGAACAAACTGCTCTTATTTACTGTCAAAAAAAATACGTTGCCGGGTGATCTGTAATCTATTTTGATGAGTTGTCTGCAGTAAACATAGCGTTTCCATGGGAAAAAATTTTGTTATACAATGGCGTCTCTATGGAAACAAGACTGTTTGAACAAACAGTATGATTAAATAATGGTGTTTCTACGGGAACAAAACCATTTATCGCAACACATAACACATTGATAAAAAAACTACCGGTTAATCTCGTTAATTGCTCTATTTTCACGTCAATTACTGATCAGCCGCCAATTGTAATCTCTTATTTCCTGGAATTTCAAAATAACACCTTCTAATAAATTCACTCCGTAATAAAGTAAATATTTTTTCCTCGTCAACTTTAACGTATTTTCAATGAGCATAACCTCTTTTCCGCATTTCAAATGGGCACTTGCAAATACGTTTCTTTATTTGTCTGGAATTGGCACTATGTTATTTTATTTAGCACCTTTGGTAGTATTAGTATAGTAGAAGCAGCGTCGTGATAAAAAAAGCTGTCGTACGCGTTGATACATAAATAATTCAATTATACGGATACTCTGTTTATATCTCTTTAATTAGCCTCTAATTATATAGATCAAGTGATAATAAGCCTCATTAGGCTAGTTTTATATTTATAAAGTTTCTACAAAACTGTTTTGATCATTCTGCCTATGCCCAACCTATCAGTATAGCTGGAATTATAACTAAGAAGAAAAACCTCCTTCACAGAAATGAATTCCCAGTTGGTTGCTCAGCAAGAGGGCAAGAAATTTCTGAGATTCCGTTTCCTTTCCAAACCAAATAGCTGGAAATCAAGCGGTGGCGAGAGCAGCAAATATCAATCCTTCAACAGCAAGCTCTCTGAATCGCTCCTTGGAATTGCCAATATGTCCCTGAAGGTTGCTCAGGTTACAACTCCCCATCCGGAAGTCAACGATCTTTCTACCGAAGTTCACGATTCTTTGCCGAAGTTTGAAGAACTTAAGTATCACCCAAAGCTAGAGGAAACGTGCTCGAAGATCACTACGCCTTTTCCGGACCCGAAATTTGACGATTTACTCCCAGAAGACTGCCACAACCTTTCCCCAAGGATGGAGCGAAAACTGAGCGAATTGAAGTTTGGAGGACAAGACAGGGTGGAAGAATGCTTTGCGGAAATTTTCGTCTTTCCGCCCCCGGAGGTTTTTACAATTCCATTTGAAGAAGAAGAATTCGGAAAGGCAAGTGAATCTCAAAATGAAGTCTCACCGAGTTTCACAAGATCTAATTTCCTGTTGAAATATGGCGGGAAATTAACAGAGGCAGGGAAAAGCTTAAACGATTCGGAGATGTATTTGTTGTATAAAGATATTTTCAAACCACTTGATTCTTCACTATGTTACTGAATATCTATTTTTACTCCACCGAAATAATACATAAATAACACAAACAAAATTTAAGATATTCGATCACAGAAAATTTAATCATGTTCTAGGAAAACTAGCAAAGATATAGTCTATCAATCAGATCATACAGTTATTTCATCTCGAGTATGGATTGTATGCACTTTTCTATGACAAAGAAAAGAAAGAAACTATTTGATTTTATTCTAATGTTTTTGTATTATATTTTCTCACACTTGCGCCAGCGGACAATAGATTTCTCGTTGTTTTCATTTTATAGAGGGTTAGTGAACAGAGTAACAGTTTCTTGCTTTAGGCAACTCAGTGGCAACTTGCAGCTCGTTTACTGCGCTTATGAAACGAAAGTAAACATTTAAGTTCAAGAGATCTCAAATAGACCAAATAAGAGTTTCTTATAGAGAAAAACTAAGTTAACCTCTGCATGTAAGGTGGAGGAGAAAAAGAATTACTGAATCGAAGGGAGGACATGAAAAAGAGCCGGCCACGCAGGTTTATGTAATAACTTGTTGCCATTTTGATCTTGGTGGCAACAAATATGATTGCTGTCAAGAACCTCTCTTCAAAACCTCTAACGTAGCCTGTGCACAGACGTTGTTTTCTTTTTGTTTTCGAAAATTGACGAGCATGCGAGAGCGGGTGCGGAGCACGTGAACAAGGGCAGAGCGCGAAAAAATTTTCTTATTTCTTAACCCCACCATTTTCCGATTGACTTTAATAAATTTTCAGCTGTTTTTATTTCCATACGCGCGCTCGACGATCCCTGAAAGAGAAAACATAGGGTCTGTGAATAGGCTACCTCTAACGTCATTCGTTTCTCCTGACACGCCAGCTTTATTTGACCGTGCTTCGGTCATTATCAGGATCAATTACGAGGAAAAAAAATGTGTAAAAAGTATGATTTCTTAAAAAAGGCAGCGTTGAAACAAAAAAAAGCATGCTGAAACAAATTAATTAAAAACCTTTACACAAATTGAGTCAAGCGACTGTATATTGAGCCCCCCGGGGGGCCACTCCCTTATTTGTCCTAGGCGGGTATGTGCCGCTAAACAGGGTATAACAGGGTATGGTTTTCACACTCTTGAGTCTTAAACTGGGTATATTATTTCACTATTTGGTGTCTTTTAGCGCTCCAACACATCTGTCGTTCCTTTCCGTCACTCGCGGCGAGGAGCAATTAAGAGAACTGCTGTATACGCAAGGTAGGCGTTTTTAACACGGTGGGTTTATAGCCCCGGAAGCCTTTAAAAGATTGTGGAGGCTGTAGATGGGCGATCTACATTTTTGTCACCGACAATGTTTTCCAATATGCAATCCGAAACGATTCAGGGTCATAAAATAAGTTCTCTTATCTTAAACAGGGTGGCCAAATGAATAATTTTTGTATTAAAGAGGATCAGATTTTGAAGGCTTCTGCGGCACACCTCTACCCAAACTTCCCTTCAGTGTTTCCTCCGGGACATTCAGACAACCCGGGATTTAAACTTGGTACCATTTCATGTATAAAATACATGTACATTTCATAAAAGAGAGGCAGTCAAAATTGTTTGCGCATTTCTTAAAAACAGTATAAATCTTTAATTTGAATTTTCAATTTCCACACTCGGTATTTTCTGCACCCTTCAGTTTCCACACTGCGCGTTTTCTATACTCTGCGTTTGACATTTTCCACTTAGTAAACCCGACAACTAGCTGACCCGACTATAACCCGAGGGTGGTTTTCCACTGTCGCGGAATTTGTATGTGCGCACGCACGTAAAATTTGCTAGCGTAATGAAATAGAGGCATGTATGAGAGACGGTGCGTAAACGTAAATGGTGAGCGAGGTTCAACAGTTGACGCTTACGCGCGACCTTTGATACATCGCCTCTACGTATTTATGCGCGTAAAACACGCACTGCGATTGTGATGCATTGTGGATGTAGAATTTTCAAGATGGCGGCGAAGGTCGAGAAATTTCCCGGGTTATATGCTTTATATTTCGATAGACATAGTTCTTTTTTGAGAAAGTTATATCCACTCCTGACTTATACTTAGTTAGGCTTTTTCTGCGTGCGTAGTATACCTACGTAAAAAGTACACGACAGTGGAAAACCAAGCAGACGTTTCTTAGGGCGTCGTCATGCGTTGAGGGGCGAGACTGAGGATCGTTGGATACCATGAAAACCAGCCAAGATGATGTGATCAAACAGACTAACTTTTCTCTACATGAGGTTAGATGAAGCTTTTTGTGAACTTTAATTTTTCTCATCTTCTTTTACCATAAATATAAATAGTTACGTTACGCAGCATCATAAGTCAAAGGACATACCGGCCCCTGATTACTCTCCAATCAAGATGGCGAGCAAAGCGAACCGCGAGGAACGCGCGAGCGAGTGGCGAATCCGCGAGGGGCCCTCGCACTCACGTTTCCTATCGCGGGCTCTCGCGTAACTTCCGTGCTGAGTGTTTGCAAATAGGCGGAGTGCAGCATTTTAATTTCAGGGTAATTTTTAACTATTTCTCGTTATTGAATACTAGAAATATTTTAATTGTAAATAGTAATCTTTTGCTAGTGTGGGTTTGTATTTCAGTGTCATGTATTTTTGTTCCCAGTATTTTTTGGAACTTAATCAGTAATTGTTCATTGTTATCTTTTGTTCCTGGAAGGTGAAATTGGGCTGCCTGAGTGCTATCACACTGTTGTCACAAGTGTCCATAAACTGCTGGGTCCTGATGCCAGCCTGCCAAGAATCCCCGATGTAGATTGTATCGGACTATACTAGGACTATATCGAGTTCTCTATCTAGGACTGGAGTGACATGTCCGGCTGCAACTCCGGCTAAAAAATGCATCCCCATATCACTCTTCACAGCAAATCAAACATTTACCTAAACAATTTACATCGTTTATCGATCGAAATGGAACCGGAAACGCGTACACTTGAGACAAAGAAACTGTTAGTCTAAGCTAAACCCTTGCTAATCTGTGCTCAGATTGTGGCACAGAGAGAAGATACGTGGTATAACCCGCACAAAATGTATTTCCTTTACTGTCATTTGATCGGTATGTTAAATGCAGGTAAAAGAACCGGATCAAATCGATATTATCCTTGGGAAAAGTCTCAGATCAACGTTTGTCATGTTGCTTTGTTTTTCTTAAGTGTTTGAAACAAAATCCATTTGACTAATTACAATCCATTGCTCTGATTCGACAAACGTGTAAAATCCTATATTTTTTACGCTTGATGCCTTTCAAAACAATTTGCGCTGATTTGACACTTGACTCGTCAAAGATCCGCCTCTAATAGCGACAAGCCGACTTGTGACATAAGCATTTCCGATACCGTCGATTAGTTATAGCGCGAGCCAATAAGATTGTGCGGTTTTGATTAGTAACAAACTGCCCAGGCATTATCGCACGTTGAAGACCAGAAATAGCTAACGCACAATTACTACGCATTACTGCGCTTCATGTTCACAGAAATTTGATGTTCTCGTATGGGACGGTATGGAATCATTCGACAACGTCACGCCAGGAAAAGTTGAGACCACAAACCTTGCTTTTTCCGCAGATCAAATTGCCTGTGTTTGTGATGCGCTCAGGCAATCAGAAGACATTGAAAGATTGGCTCGATTTCTCTGGTCACTCCCCCCGAATGACCTGTTGAATGGCTCAGAGAGCGTACTGAAAGCCCGAGCTTTCGTGGCGTTCCATCGTGGAAGATTTCGCGAAGTTTACTCGATACTCGAGAGTCATGAATTCGATCCTTCATCGCACGAGATGCTGCAGAATATGTGGTACAAGTCTCATTACTGCGAAGCCGAGAAGCTCAGAGGCAGAGAACTTGGAGCTGTGGACAAGTACAGAATCAGACGGAAGTACCCTCTTCCTCGCACCATCTGGGATGGCGAGGAGACAGTGTACTGTTTTAAAGAGAAATCGCGGCAGTTACTGAAGCAATGCTACGAACAAAATCGCTACCCAACCCCACAAGAAAAACGCCTGATCGCCAAACAGACTGGATTGACTTTGAAGCAAGTGAGTAATTGGTTCAAGAATCGTCGACAACGCGATAGAATTCCCTCGAACAAAAGGTAAGATCACACGAGAATATTACGGTAACTTCTTATGTGTGCGCAAGGAAACACGTATTTTTATTTGTTGTTTGCCTTTACTTCCCCTCTCGATTGTTGTCGGATGAAAGTCATTGTTATTCTTTGTGATCTTGTATTCTTTGTGATCATGATGTAGCTTTCATTTTTAAAAAGTGGTGTTATTTCTTTTGTTCCTCGCGTGTACTCTTCTGGCTCGTCGTTCCTCCAAATTTTGAAGCGAATGAGCTGTGACAGCCGACAAAGTAATTTTCTAATCGGCTGTGATTAATTCCATGATAGCTCTATGAAAACTTACACTGGCTAGCCAAATCTTACTAATGGATAAAATTCTTGTTTGAGACGTCCACAAAGGAGGACATAGGTCGCAAACCGCAAAATGACGTTCTTTCCCAGCTCGGATTCGATCTCGCCGTTAACCTTTCTTGTATGACGATCGAGGATATAAACTGGGATACTAATATTCATCCTTTGAGTCTATTTGTTCACGTTAATTTGATCAAATATATCTCAATGGCAGTGGACTATTGAGTCCGAACAACTGTCTCAAAATGACCCTTGTCCTGACACAATGAATGCTATTTACGTTTCATTTAAATTTCAAAATTTGTTCTCAAGTTTCACCAATGTAAACTTACACGCCGTATCCATTTTAGCGACGACACGCTCAGGAAAAGAGTGGATTCTAGTATGGGACCGGATTCTCCCCGGCTTCACGGAACAATTTTGGGAGAAAACGCTGATGAAAATGGCGGCGAGTCGGACGATGACGCAATCGCTCCACCGCTGACGAAAACGGAGCAAGAATTATTGAACAATTGCCTCTATCCGTCCGCCAGTCTTAACCCCACAAGCGAAAATCAAGTTCACCTTGTGTGTGTGGAACTGCCGACTACAGTGATGAATGGAGAACTAAGTGAAAATGTTATTGTAGTGAAAAAGGAAGGATTTTAGTGCTGTAGATATCGCTGGACAAATGGTATGTCATCTGTCATCTTCGTCGATTTATAGTTTCGTGCGATTGGCCTGGTATCGTATAGATTTATACCACGGGGCACCCAACGAAGATTAAGGCTGGCCATCAAGTCAAAATCAAAAAACAACAACAACAACAGCAAAAAAAAAAACGACAGCAGCAGCAATGATAGAAAACGTGACTGGGTATCGAATCCGCCTATCATCCCTATTTTTAGGAGTTGTCTTAGAGTAGGGGGATATTAAGCCAATTACGAAAAGCTAAAATACACTTTTTTTAAAGTACTTCTGAAATGGGGTCGTGTCATTTCATCTACGGCCTCAGTTTTTAAGGGGTTTAAAAAGGCTGTGTATAAGCTACTCTTTTGGTTTTGCTGGATACTTTAGAAGAAGACATGTTGCAAAAAGGAATATCAACACTCAAGCGATGGCCGCTTAAGACTTGCTGAAATCATTTTCTTCTCGCGCCTCCGTCGCTAAAACAGCACTACCACGCTAATTCCGCCAGCTATGTAGGCTATTTTCTTTTTAGAAGCTAGTCTCTGTATCCTCCTAAGATTTAAGGCCATTTGATTTTTCGTTGGGTGTCCTGTGGTATGCACCGAAGCTCGAACTTTCATTTCATTCCCAAGGTCAAGAGAACGTTAAGGAACTAGGAAACAAGTAGTGCCATTTGAACGTATTGCTCAGTGGCTTTCATCTGTTTGGTCACACCATAACATTTTATCCACAGAGTCAAAAGTTAGAATCACCTTGTACAGCATAATATACAGTACCACAGGAAAGTACTCCTGAAGATCAACATTGCATTCAACCACAGACTCAAGTTTATAAATGAACTTTATAAACTGTTTCCTTATACATTGACTTTGGGAGAAAAATGTTACCATTTATTACCTAACTATTCAAGGTGAAGTTTTTTTCAAAATCAAGAAAGTGTTCGAGTTATTGTTTGATATACAGACCGGTATTTGCAATAGAATTTTACAGATGCTGGAAAATTTTTATTAAATGGGTGTAATTTTTTTATAATGTAGACGCAGTCTACGCCAAAAAAATGAAAAAATTAAGTCAAAGATAAAAAAATGGTCTCTTTTGTACTGCACACAATAATATTTTTTCATGTAGAGCAAACAAAAATTTTAGTAGTGAATTTTAGGACAGGGGTTTTTCACGATATAATGCCGTTTTTCATCATAAATCATTTGTCTCTTGTTAATCTTTTTTTATTGAAACCCTACACGATCCTTAATCCAAATATATGGCAACCGCGTGCCCAGGGCGCTTTTCCCTGGCTTTGGAGGTGGGTCTGGTGCAAGGGAAATGCGCCCTTGGGACATGGTTGAATAACTGGGTGACTAGGAGCTCTCGTGTAGCATCAAATTTTTGTGGGATTGACAGTTAAATTTCCCTTATAGGCGATTCCATCTTCTAGCGGGAACCAAATTTTGTCACTCTTTTTAAGTTTCACCCGGAGTTATATTAGTTTCCTAGGTCGCGCGTAAACGTAAAAGTTGAACCTCGCTTAACTTTTACGTCTACGCCCGAAAATTTGCGTGCGCACGCAAGTAAAAATTACGGGAGAGTGGAAATCCACCCTTATATACAACATTTCCGTGTTTATTCAACCACAAAAGCGATCGAAGTGAAGAAGAAACAATATCAGATCGTTGCATATTTGCCCTACTTACGAACACAGTATTGCCGTTCTTTAGGGTCAGTCGATGTAGCCAAGTTTTACGGAGAAACTTTTCGCGCTAAAATTAATTTCCGTGGGAAATCAACCCGCCAAAATTTATTGCCATACATTAGAAGTGTTAGTGCACGCGCGAAAACTCACTCCTCGCGCGCCACGTCTTCTCGAGAGAGAAGATTACCACGCGAATTCGCGTTCGCCACGCATATCTAAGAAAATAAGAGACTACACAAACTTGGCCAATTTCAATCAAGTTGTTTGAGCACAAATAATGAAATATACTTTGGCACGATGTTCATTAAATGTGTCGTTACTATTTTTCACACGAGGATAAACTAAATAAAATGAATTCAATTTCTCTGTATTTGCAGTTGCCTTCTCAGTCGTTTGTTTTTACCGTAGCCTGCGTGGCAGGTGTTTGAAGGGGAAGGGAAAGGACGCGCGATGGGCGCACTTTTGCTAACCTGTTGCCAGTGTGCGGGCTAGTCTACCAGAATCATGTGGTCGAAAAACGGGCGAGGAGAGACTGAGGAGAAGAGTCCTATTTTTGGGTGCGCTCTCGTAACGGGAGTACAGAGACAAAAGAGCGGTTTCACCACCTCGTTGAGCTCGTTCCCCAGGTCTCTTTATACTTATTAGGGAGCTTAAGCAACAACGACGGCGGCGGCTACAAAAACGTCACTTAAAAAGTGAATTCGCGCTGCTTCAAACTTTACCTGGCTTCAATTCGACAAATAACGGCGAACTTTTCTGGAGTTGAATTCTAATGGACTGTATTGAAGTTCAGGAAAAGAAAAAGAAAATTGCTGTCTTGTGTTCACGTCCTCCATAAAACGTGAGATTAGGAAGTTTCACGTCGTAAGTCGCGCAACGACGGCACTGAAAGCTACAAAAAAGTGTGATGCACGTGCAAAGTTGTTGTTTTGCCGATCTAGACCTATTGCAACCTCATTTCCAGGGTTCTGTCAGAGAGAGCCTGGGAACGAGGTTGAACCTATCGCTTTTTTTTGCCGTTCTCGTTGCCGTCGCCGTTGTCGTTGCTTAAGCTCCCTATTCTATTATGTAGGGACAGGAGCCAGGCTCCTGGTCAGCCTGGTAGGAACGAGTAGGTGATGATTACCTTACGAACGAGGTTGTAACTTTCACAGTCACCGGAGTGAATGCCGCAAGAAGGAAACCCACTTTGTGCTACGAAATTGCCGAAAAGTTGCCCAATAGTATGCCAAAAAGTTGCTTTCAAAATCTGGAAATTAATATTTGTAGCCACGGATGTTGATATTAGAAATAGAGGTTCACTTATTGGGCTCCGCAATACAAACTTTTTTATGAATGCAACCCGAATAAGCTCAACTGGCACTCTTTCGTCGTCACTCGAAAGAAGATTACGAGGCGTCTCCCCTCCATTTTGTTCTAGTGAAGCACATCCATATTTGGAGCTAATCATCACAGCGGCACGATGCGCAACGGTCAGAAAGACATGATATTTCTAAAGTTTACTAACTTACCACACGAAACATGAAGAACTATGTTAACAACTTCAAAAATTCTATTATTTGCTCTCTTACAAAAAGTTGCCAAAAAGTTGCCAAAAGATTAAAAGAGAAAAATAAAGTTTCGCCTTCCAATGCAAGATAACATGGACTGAAAGCCGTCTCCTTCCCTCAAACAAAATGAGGGGAGAGCTGTAAACGACCAAAGAAAGTCCGTCTGAATAAAAAAATATTTATTTACAATTGCACGGCGAAGACGATTCCAACAGCAAATAAAGTCTTTGTTCCATAACTAGCTGTGGCAAATTTATCACAGCATGGCGTCCACAAGCATTGTGTAGCTGCGTCGATACCGTCCTCTAAGACCGCGCCAATATATACTTGGGACACGATTTTGTATTTCTTGTGTGTCTCGCGGGATTCTTCCTCGACACGAACTTTAATGAGCTCACTCAGTAAAGGGCCAAGCCGTCCGAAAAGATTGTGGTTATATTCGGAAAACTGCGCCAAATAAGATGTCAAGACGTCTAAAATTATAGTTCGGAGTTGCTCATCTTGTACACGCGGGGCGCGAAGGTCGGCGATGGTGCCCGCGCGACGTCTTCCGGGCGAGTTCGTTTTTGCAGATTTGACCGACGAGTCTCTTTCGGGAATTGTCGCCAATGTCAAAGAATTCCTGCAACCGTTTACTCTGCCAACTTCTGTCAAAGGAACGGGTGGCCATGTCTGTGTTCGTTTCCTTCCGAACAATCGATCGAGGTGAGATAGACTACGTTTAACTTTCGCTGAATTCATATCCAGTTGAATTGTTTATAAACCAGGCATATGTTAATGTTTTTTCCAAGTGTTCTCCTGGTTGCTCACAATGTAACGGAAGAGGGAGCGTGAAAAAAGCTATCCATGCTCATTGTTAGAGACTTGAAAATCGTTTAGCACTTCGATGTCCCCCAGCAAGACATCACTTCTGTTGCGACACACGCTAAATCCGGTCCAAGTAACTCCGAGCCCTGAATACAATACAGCAAAGCAAGGCGAAGCGCGCGGGATCAACAATTTATATATCCCCCGCTATGAGATGAAAACACGACAAAGCGCGATACTTCGGTGTCAAGGGTCAAGACCATAAACTAACGTACTTAACGTATTGAAATACAGCCAAAAGGCGGCAATTTCTAGGAATTTTCACCACAAAGGAACTGAATTCGCTGGCAGAAATTTTCCGTGCTTCCGGTATATATGGCTTCTGCAGACAGGGTTTCCTTGAAAGACCAAACGGAAATGATTTTCGCAGTTTGTCCATGCACGACAACAAGCCTAGTCAGGAGGAATTTCTAATAATTGCTGAAACAATTGTATCCACCAAGAATTCGAAAGAATCGTGTGCGCCGAAAAACTGTTTCACAAGAGGGGTTGTGATAGCGTCAAATGTAACAAAGACTCTACTGGAGATGAGTCAAATTAACTTGTCTGCATTTCAACACAAGCCAGAGATACTAAACATAGATATCAGAGGGCTGAAAGTGATGTGTCTCAGATTCGATTGTTATCGCTGTCTTGGAATTTTCTTTCTTGACCTCTCCTGATCATATTTGAATGTTTCTACCCTGATAATTATGCCTGCCACCCAGTGACTTAATCCCCTTTTTGCCGTTTTGCAAGTTATAAATTCTTTCCTGTAGGTCACAAAATTTAAGAAAAAGCAGTAACCTTTGTCGAGGTTGATAAATTAAGGCCGGTATTTATGACAACAGCACTTTCAACAGCTCCGACGAAGATCTTTCAGTTTCACAGCTCCATTTTTCCGTGTTACAAAGAGCTTCGTCGAAGGCCGTTTTTTTCTTCTTTATCTTCCTCTTCAGCGAAACAAAATCAAGTTTCAATGGGCCTTCTGTCTTACCAGCTGAGGCGTCTGTGTTTATGAGAAGTCTGAATACAAAGTAGACGAAGAAAAGGCGACAGCGAGCGTCTTCAGTCAGCACTATTAAAAACAGCCGTGTTATAGATCGCTACCGAAATGTCATGTAGCTTTGTCACTTCATGGTCAACTTACATTCAGTTCCGCATTCTGTGTGGTCGTGATATCTACGAAAAACACTTACAGCGCCTTTAGAAACAGACGAAACGAAAGGATCGTGGATCGTGGATCGTGGAAGACTCTTGTGTATACCACCAATGTCAGGTTGATATGGGATTTATCAATAATTAATCGTTCTTTCGAGACAGGTGCTCAGACAGAGTGATCCCATTGGCGGATCTCCATTCAATTAACACGGATATTATGGTTAATTCGATTAATGTTTTGATAAATTCGTGTTGTTTGCCGAAAAATTTGTTCAGCTGGATATTATTTTAGATAAAACACTTCAGGACATCTTCGTACGATAAAACCCGTGTTTGTGTTTCTCATGTAAGCGAGCGCTTATATGAAATTTGGTCCAAAACGAGTGGGTGGGGCCCATTCAGCCCCCGAGGAGGGCACTTGATCTACAATCTTGGACAAAATAAATGGAAAACCTAGACCCCCCCTCCCCCCAAATCAAGGATGGGAAAATGGTGCGTTTTTGCCCTTCGCGCGGCTTCATCGTTGATTTGGGGGGGATGGGGGTTTGCTGTTCCATTTTATTTTGTCCAAGATTGTAGGTGAGAGGATTAGGGGTACATTCATTAATTGTTTTCCTTCACCAAACTTAAAATAAAAAGGCAGGATTACAAGAGCTAGGAGTCTATAATTTAGGCTGCTAGTAGGCTTCCCATAATCCAGAGCGAACAACTCCCATATTTGGGCTATGGCATAGCGTTTTCAAGGCCCGGTCTATTTTTAGATACATTTTAGGGCAGTTTTTCCCGGGAAAAAGGAACCTCCACTCCGTCTGAACGTATTCGAAGTATAAGATAACAGATAAATGTCACAAAAACATCAAAAATACCATTTTCAGTGACTGGTTTCTAGAAATTACAAGTTATTCTAAATTAGCGCCAAAATCCTCCTTCAAATAAACTGCTTCAGGGGCGGATCCAGGATTTTTTTTACGAGGGGGTGCACTCGTCTTTTGCTCTACTTCAACACCAATAAACCACATAGGTTTTTTTTTTTGCAGAATACCAGTTGTATTAGAAAACCGCAGGTCATCTCAGGGGGGGGGGGGGGGGGAGTGAACGAGAAAATATTAGTGTGGGGGGAGTATGATATATATTTTTATAAACAAAAAAAAATAAACAATATTATTTTTTTTTTTTTTTGAGAAATCCTTTTGTATAAAAAAACCCGTGAGTGCTCTGGGGGGGGGGGGGGGGGGTGCGCACCCCCTGCACCCTCCCCCTAGATCCGCCCCTGTGCTTATCAACAACTTCGTGACACGAGTACACAGAAGTTGCTCCCTCGGAGTTATGGACTCCTGCAAGAATGTATGAAAAAAGAATATGGAGATGTAGAAGAAACTGTTCTCCTGTTGTCAAAACACAATAACTACAACTTTATTAGCAGTCACATTAACATAGACGGTATTGTTTTAAAATAACTAAGTTAAATGAACCAAGGAATTAAACAAAAGAAAAGAAAGCCTGAAAGAAAAAAAATTCAGGCTTGCAAGGGATTCGAACCCTTGACCTCTGTACAAGCCTGAAATTTATTTTTTCAGGCTTTCTTTTCGCATGTGCAAAAAGTTGCGTTTCTAACTGGGATGATCTTCTTTCATTTAATTCTCTACCCCGCAGTTCACATATATGATTTTCATACATTCACAACTTCATTATCATCCTTTCACGGGTTTAGAATCCCGTACAAGCCTGAATTTTTTTCAGGCTCTCGTTTCGCAACTTCAAAAGTTGCGTTTATAACTGTGATGATCTTCTTTCATACAAAGTATGGTATTCTTCGCTACCATGCAGCTCTTATCACTTGAGGAGGGAGTTTTCTCGAATAAGCCATTTCTACAATTTCTTTTTTAATTGAATATATTTTTAGCCGGGGTCGTTGTAAAACTGGGAAGAAGATTGTACCAGCAGTGAGCTGTAGCCTCCCTTAAAATCTGTTCCTTAGTTCAGGTATCTGTTCTTTTCTAGCTAAATTGCTTGATGCAACCTTCTTAACAAATAAATCAAGGGTACAAGTTTCCCGTGTGAGATCAGTTATTTCGTTTAGTTGCTCTCTGAAAAATTTTTGACCCGTTCCCGGCACGAGGTGGCTTAAATTTGCGAATCAGCATTTTGGGAGACGCTCTCTCGATCTTCCATGTAAACACGAAAGGCTCTCTCCACAGCAGCAACTCCAAAAAACGATTGCAAAACTTTCACTACCACCAGCTTAGCAGAGCTGGCAAAATCCTCGTAATTCTCCCGAACGAACTCGACCATCCTCGAAAGTTCAAAGTCCACAGCAACCACTTCTTCGTGCTCGAACTTGTCCTTTGGGCCTGTGGTGAACCTGGAACCTAGCTGCTCGAACGTCAGTTGGCGTTCGGGCGAGACTCGGGGATCCGACAGGTCGACGTAGCCACAACAACCCCACTCGTGCGTGTCGAACTTGAGGTATACGGTTGTGAGGCAAAGAGCCTCGATATCGCTTTCTTTCAACTCGACACGAAGTTCTTCCTCCAGTCCTCGTGCGGCTGTCTGGATCAGGTCCACGTAAGCTTGGTCATCTTCGTAGACATAGTCCTTTACTGAAGCGCTCTCCACGGCTCCACAAGTGAATTTGCCGGGAGTTGCCATTCCCTCTAAAACCAAATGCCGGGGAAAACATGTCAAGCAATTAAGGAAAAAGCAAAACCTGAATACGTCTTGCTCTTCCTAGGATCTCCACAAATTATGGCAACAATTTTCTGTTCGCTTTACTGGAAATAGATTATGGTAGTCGTTGCCGCAAGAAATAAAAACACTACTATCTAGAGGACAATTTAAAAAGAAATTAAGACTATCACAATTGTCAAACTATCTTTGATCTACCTCTCTTAGTGTATTGCTAGTTTCAAACACACTACTTAAGTTATTGTTAAGTCATTGCCTTTACCTTGAATTGCTACGCTTTTTGATTGGCTGCAAATCTCGCGCCACTTTCTCAACAAATTAAAAGGAAGTCAAAAGCCTCATGACTTGCTCCCATGCTTTTTCCCGCGCTTTTTGGCACCAGGAACATCTGACTGATCTGAGATCTGATTGGTTCATTTTATTGTAAGCACGTATTATAACTGATCAGCAGTTGCTATAGAAACGGTAACAAACTCGAAAGAGTTCGCAACAGAAATAAGGTATTCGTCTAGGTAACCGGTCATTTCGTCCCGGGTTACTTAGCCCCCTATTTTCGAGTCATTAACGACGCTTCAAAATGAAATAGCCCCCTTTTCTAGAACGAGGAATATTATATTTGAAGCGTGCTTGTTTTGCTTTCTGGCTTATAGAACGAGGAATAAGTAACCGGGGCGAAATGACCGGTAACCTTTGTCTAATGCCTACCTTCAAATTTCGACCTAGTTCCAAGGGTGGTTTTCCCTACAAATCCCTGTGAATAGAAAAGGGCCCTGGGGACAGCGCAAAACAGTTTCAGGCAAGTGAGGACATAACGTTGAGCGCCAAAAATTAGACAGAATGTCTCGCGCCATGTTAAACCACGAGTCTGTCCTATAAAATAACTTACCTCGATTAGATCTTCTTGCAAATATAAATTTCTGCGGTTTGTCCGCCGTAAGCACTGCCACATGGAGCCCAAATGATGTGCTAAAAACAGGATGTACTGCATTCTTACACACGACAAGCTCTCTTTTTTTAGACTCCTCAAGTTTCCTCCAGATCTCTCTAATGGCCCTGTGATGACAGTATGTTGTCTGGCCAAATGAAAGCTGGATTTCCTGTCGCTCCTCCTCGTCCTCTCGGGAAGTGATCAAAGATTTAAGCGCAATGGCGGGAAGGTCTTCTATCGTCTTATCGATGGCCGCCTAGACATGCAAAAAAAAAAACAACACTCAATGGTCTTACGACGCCAGAGTCTATGTCAATGGTTTATTGCAGTTATACCTTGAAGCAAGCAAGCTGTCTTGGTTTAGGAGTGGGTGACCGAGAGAGCCTCCGAGCAGACTACTGCATTTAATTTGGAACGGAAAAATGTTTAAAGACTGGGAAGAAAAACACCTGATCATTAAAAAACGGCGTAAAAAATAAAACTTATGACTAGTTTTTTCGCTTTTGTGGGGGAGATAATCCTCAGATTTACCTTCAATTTTAGATTTAAGCCCCTTTCCCCACTTCCGAGCCGAAAGTGAAAATTTTTCAACGAACCAGATACATTTAAAAGAACAACTCTATCTGGAAATTAAGGTGTCGCTATTCTGCTGTGGCTGGGAAAGCTTCGGACAGAGTTTTTTTTTCTTACGTTACTGCAGATCTGTCTTCAACTTCCCCAAAATGTGTCTCCCTCGCGCGCCCCGATCTTTCTTGCGCCCATTACCTCTAAGCGCCTGCTACGCAGGCTACCAGGGCTTATCCCTTAGAAAAGGTTTCTTTGTGAAAAACTCTGTGGACAGGGTGGCTTCCTCGAGTGCACTGCTTACGTCCCTGTACCACAGGGGTTCGAGAGAGGGGAAGGAAAAATCGGGCGCACGCGAGGGAGAAAGTCGGGGAACCTTTTCCTCGCGTGCCCCTTGCGTTCTCGCGCGTGCCAGTTTGTTCCTTTCTCACTTCCCGTTAAAACGCCTAAGATACATGCTACAGCCAGGTAGGCTGTCCTGGTATGTAGTGTATGTATATTTTCTATACCTGTCTAAAGTGACCATAATACTCCCGGTATTTTTGCTCGTATGTCCATTCTTTGGGAACGTCGTTATATTCTTCATTTCCCACTTCCACTTTGCACAAAAGACACTGAGCAGGAAATCCCTGGGGACGCACTCCAGTCTTGAAGAATCCTTCACTGGACTAATTGATTGAAAAGCAGCAAAACCAAACTCAGAGCAAAATTTCCATGAATTAATTGAATTGATACAGTTACCATTCCACTTCCTGGGTCAATTATTGAGTCATGTATTAAGGTACTTGTACCTTTTCAGTTTGTGGATAAAATCCTTAAGTGTGACCATCCAAATGAAAGCTACTGAGCAGCAGTTTCCTGTGGTATTGTTTATGCTGCACAGCGTGGTTCTTTTGAGTCTGTGGAAGAAATCCTAAAGTGTGACCATAACAATGAAAGCAGCACTTTTTAGTGCTGTTTTTGATGCTGTAAAAAGTGGTTCTAACCTTTCAGTCACTAGACAAAATCCTCGGGCGTGACCATTCATTTTAAACCCCTAATCCAGTATTTGGGTACCTTCACTTCAATAAATGACCCTTTTACCCAAGGGAAAGCCCTGTTACGTAATGTAGGATAAGCTGGGTAGGAAAATTTGTGTCACTCAACTGTGCCTCAGAATTAAGCCCAATCTTTACCTCTTCAACCAAGCTCTCTGCAACAAAAATAGAAGTGTGCTGAAGGAAGCCACATGAGAAGAATTCAGCACTTTTAGCTTCAGCTTGATAAGGATTCATATCACCTACGACAAACATAAAATGACATAATTTGTGGGTGTAATGAAATACTAGATTATTTTGAAAATTAATCAAAATGATACAAAATATATTAACGTTAAAAGCCGACGTTTCGGTATCATCATGACACCATTCTCAAGGCAAAATGAATAAATAATGCGAAGATTCGATTACAAAGGATCACAAGTTTTTCAAGAGAATACCTTTGCGCGAATCGAGTCCGCCTGCACGTTTAGGGATGGTTTGAGTTTTCTTATAAAGAACATCTCCTTAATTAGGCAATCAAATTTGTTAGAACCTTTAGTGCGCACGTGAAATTGTTCTGAAAGAGAAGGTGGTACGTCCGAGTTATGTTCGCTAAGATAATGTTTACAAATTGACGACGATTTCAGTTTTACAAAATTTTACTTGTCTTGCCACTGGAAAATAAAATTCATATCTTCAAGCCGCCGTGTAATGTTCTTGTTATTATATAGACAGAATGACCTCGATAAAATAATAGAGGGAAATTACCTAAATTACATCATCGATAAACTCATGTGTGAGATTATGGAAAATAAACCACTCGGGTCCCGGATGTAGTTTTTATGAATTTTACGAGTGGTATATTTTCCAGTAAAACACTCGTGTCTATAAAATAAAAATTAATAAAATGATGGGCTTACCTTTAAAGTACCGGTAATCTTGAACTAATCTATCAGCTGTAGGACGTGCTTGTGGGTCTTCCAGGCGACAGTCATGAATAACACTCCTCAGTTTTCCACTCAGTTCCTCAGGAATCGCAACCTGATCAAGAGACTGAATTGTATTATTTTGAATTCCTTCTACACTCACAGAGTTCCGGCCATGCCATGGCATCTTTCCTGTTAAAGTGTAAGCTACCACTTGTCCATAAGAGTAGATGTCAGCACGCAGGAAAAATAACTCATCGTCTTGGCTATCTGTGAAATCTTCTGTGGGTTGGTCTTCAAGAGCCTCATTTTCTGGAGGTAAAGTAGTAATTTAGAATAAAATATTACATCCAACTCCAACATAATCATTCTCAGCTGAAAGTATTTTAAATAGAAATATTTTTATTGACTAATTGAATCTGTGTTTTCATGGACCTTCACCTTCAATAGGTTCTTCATCAAAGTACATGTAATCTTCCCAAACCTCAGGAGCTGTCCAGCGTGCATGGAATAAAGAAAGATCATTTCCAGTTCTTTCTACTGTCCGTGACAAACCAAAGTCCGCTAATTTAACCCTCAAACTCCTGATATCAAGCTAATAATGCAATCAAATGAACAAAACTCAAATTATAACTCATTTAACCACATGGCTTATAAAAATAATATACCACATCCCTGGATTCATTTCCTTCTCTAGCATACACAAATCACACCATGGAGGCATTCCATTCATTCATTCAAGAAAATTTGAAAAAAGGATTCATTCATTGTTGGATACCCCTTATTACTTAATAAATGTGGAGTGCACTCTTTGGCACATTCTTTTGCCATCATTGCAAAACTTACATTGTCAAGCTTGATCAGAATGGTAAAGTGTTTTCCGGGGAGGGGGGGGGGGGGCTCCCATCACTTTTATAGGGGAGTGCCCCCCAGGAAGCATTTGCCACTTTCATCTCTAACAGCATTGTCTCATCAATAGCAATCAGAAATACCCACAGAAAGTCTCAGAATTCAGTGGATCTAATGGACAAATCACAGTCTTTACTCAAAAAGAGAAATATATAACAACAAAGTCTTAAAAAGAGAGAGACTTACCAGAATATTATCAGGCTTCAAGTCTCTGTGGCTTATGGGTGGATTCAAACCATGCAGGTACATCAAACCATTAGCCATTCCTCTGCCAATAGTCCACACCTGACTTCTGGGAAGTCCCTGAGATTCAGGAGTTTTGTGATCTTCCACAAATCTGTACAGATTCTTAGGGATGTATTCCATTACTAGGAAAGGACTGCCTTCTTTAAGAGTAAATTTCTCATGTACAATATCACTTTGCAAAATATTCATTCCTCTAAATGCAACAATGTTGTCATGACGAAGATCCCTGTTGAAAAAAAAGAAAAATACTAATTAGGACAATTAGTTAGAATACATGAAGCTTTATACTAAACAGGGGCAATAATTATTATGTAAAAAATGCATTATTATCATGCTGATGTTCAGGGGTACTTTCAGATGAAATAAGTCATAATTTCAGCACTATACTGACAACCACACATCTTTCAACTTAGGGTGTATTTCTAATATTTTTCTGTTAGTATTATGGTATTTTCCAACACTTCCGGACTGCTCTGTGTAGAGTAATGCACTTCAGATACCACCATATTAATAATTAACAGAATTTCAATACCTTGAAATACTTGATAACAGGTTAATTTAATCTTCCCCATGTGATAAAATCCACAAATGGCTGATCGCAAAACCAAAACAATATTTTCCATCTTCTGTAACTGAGAAATTGAGTAACCTCTGAGAATCATGAGTAGAAATACCTTAGGAGATTTCCCTCTGTAAGCAGTGGCTTGGTTTCCTTGAGATTTTTCAGAACCTTGACAGCTACATCATTGCCTTTGAGTTTTGCTTTGTAAACACTTGAGAACCCTCCCTCTCCAAGTCGCTCCCATGATGCTAATTCTTTCTGACTCACTCTCCCTGTAATCCTCAACCCTGATGATGCTGCAATATTTGACCAACATGATTGAGTGGTTATAGGATACTGGACATCCCAGATTTAAGTCCTAAACAGGTGGGAACAGGCATGCCTATGTAGTTAATGAAAGAGAGTACCCTTCCCCGAAGTTCAAGTCCTATAGGAGTGAAATTCAGAAGTGAAAATGGCAGGAAAGATTTAAAGAGGACATGATCAAAAAAAGAACCTAAGGGCGGGTAGTAAGACCTAGCAAAATCCCCTACTCTAGAAATTTCAATTTTTGTGCCGCTCAAAACTCTTGTATAAAAATGACAACGGATGTCTGACATAGGATATCTGACACCAGACGTCTGACTTCAGACATATGACCACAGACATCTATCATCAGATATCTGATGACATCCGACAAACATCAGACATTAGACATCAGACATATGACATAGGACATCGTCATCAGACATCAAACATCTGACAACAGACGTGACATCAGACGTCTGATATCAGACGTCTGGAATCAGATGTCTAAATGTTATATAAATATATATATATATATAACAGTTATATAACTGTTATATAATATAACAGTATATATATATATAATAGTTATATAACTTATATACTGTTGTATAACAGTATATAACTGTTATATAACAGTATATCACAGTTATATACTGTTATATAACTATATAACTGTTATACAACAGTATATAACAGTTATATAACTGATAACAACTGTATATAACTGTTATAAATGTTATATAACAGTTATATGTATACTTTTATATAATAGTATATAACAGTTATAGAACTGTTATATACTGTTATATAACTGTTATATAACAATTATATATGTTATATAACAGATATATAACTGTTATATAACAGTATATAACAGTTATGTTATAACTGTTAACGTCTGTTAACTGTGATAACAGTTATATGACAGCAGACATCTCCTGTCATAGAACTGTCATGACACATCTGATGTCTGAATTTACATGTTATGTTACATAACGTCTGATAACAGTTATGTGACATCAGACGTCTGACATCATATAACTGTTATCAGACGTTATGTAACATAATATATAAAATCAGACATCAGACATGTGATAACAGTTATATGACAGCAGACATCTGCTGTCATATAACTGCTGTTATAACAGTTATGTGACCGTTATAACAGTTATAAGACAGCAGACGTCTGATGTCATATAACTGTTATCAGATGTTATGTAACATAAAATATAAAGTCAGACATCAGACGTTTGATAACAGTTATATGACAGCATCATCTGCTTTCATATAACTGTTACCAGACGTCTGAGATCATATAACTGTTATCAGACGTCTGATATTAGGCATCAGACGTCTGATAACAACTGTAATATAACATCAGACGTCTGACATAACATATAACATCAGACGTCTAACATGTTATGTTATATAACTGTTATGAGACGTCTGATAACAGTTATATGATATCAGACGTCTGCTAACAGTTATAAAAATCAGACGTCTGATAACAGTTATATGACATCAGACATCTGATGTCAGACGTCTGCTGTCATATAACTGTTATCAGACGTCTGATTTTAGATCTTATGTGATATAACTGTTATTAGAAGTCTATGTTATATCTTATGTTATGTAACTGTTATCAGACGTCTGTTTTTATTGTTATGTTATATAACTGTTATCAGACATCTGATGTTATATGTCATGTTATATAACTGTTATCAGATGTCTGAGGTCTAATATCAGATGTCTGATAACAGTTATATGATGTCAGACGTCTGAAAACTCATGTAACAGACTGTTATCACACGTCTGATGTCTGATTTTATATGTTATGTTATATAACTGTCATCAGATGTCTGATGTCTAATATCAGATGTCTGATAACAGTTACATGATGTCAGATGTCCGATAACAGTTATATGTCAGCAGACTTCTGATATTAGAGAAATAACATCAGACGTCTGATAACAGTTATAGGACAGCACACGTATGATAACAGTTATATGATGTCAGACGTCTACTAACAGTTATATGACATCAGACGTCTGATGTCAGACGTCTGCTGTCATATAACTGTTATCAGACGTCTCATGTTATATGTTATGTTATATAACTGGTATCAGAAGTCTGATGTCTAATATGAGACATCTGATAACAGTTATACAATTGCAGCAACTGATAACAGTTATATGACATAACATATAAAGTCAGACATCAGACATGTGATAACAGTTAGATGACAGCAGACCTCCGCTGTCATATAACTGTTATCAGACGTCTGATATTAGACATCAGACGTCTGATGACAGTTATATAACATAACATAAAATCAGACATCAGACGTCTGGTGTCATATAACGTCTGATATTGTTTAACAGTTATCAGACGTCTGATATTAGACATCAGACGTCTGATGATAGTTATAAAAAATAACATATTAAATCAGACATCAGAGGTGTGATAACAGTTATATGACAGCAGACCTCTGCTGTCATATAACTGTTATCAGACGTCTGATATTAGACATCAGAAGTCTGATGACAGTTATATAACAACATATAAAGTCAGACATCAGACGTCTAATAACAGTTATATGACATTAGAGGTCTGATGTCAAACGACATCAGATGTCTGAAAACAATTATATGACAGCAGACGTCTGATATCAGATGTATGACTTTAGACGTCTGACCTAATATAACTGTTATCAGACGTCTGATATTAGACATAACACGTCTGATAACAGTTATATAAGATAACATATAACATCAGACGTCTGATAACAGTTATATGACAGCAGACATCTGACATCAGACATCTGCTGTCATATAACTGTTATCAGACATCTGATGTCATATCAGAGGTCTGATATTAGACATCAGACGTCTGATAACAGGTATATAACATAACATATAAAATCAGAGATCAGAGGTCCGATAACTGTTATATGACAGCAGACATCTGATATTAGACATCTGACATCAGACGTCTGCCGTCAAGTAACTGTTATCAGATGTCTGAAGTCAGACATTTGACAACAGACGTGTGCTGTCATATAACTGTTATCAGACGTCTGATAACAGTTATACAACATAACAATACAACATCAGACGTCTGATATTAGACATCAGGCAACAAAGATCAGACGTCTTTTTCATGAAAAGGAAGCAATGTTCAGCAGGAAAAGCCGTCGAGGATGCATTGCAATACATCAAAATGTATGTAGCCGGAGTTTGAGCCAAAACTGCTAAGGGATACTTTAAAAATGGTTAGAAACAAAGCATTTGACGTCAGAACAAGGTTTTGAGCAATTTATACAGCTTCTTAAATTAAAAAGTACCGTTTAAAGAAAAGCACAATAGGCAATTGGTTTTTGTTTTCAGAATTAGCAAACATTGAATTTACTTGTCGCGAAAATTTGAACTGGTGGTTCCTTCTACGTGATAGTAATTAACGTTTGAAATTCCAAAACAATTTCACAGCTGAAGTTTGAGTGACTTTTAGTTACGGACTTCTGCTCCATACATTTTTCTGAAATCTCGCTGGCAGGGAGGGTCGGTAGGGCCCGGGGGGGGTACTCCCATACATTACCTATACGGGTATGTGCCGCCCAACGGGGTCGTGATTTTGAAGCTCCTGATTTAGAACGGGGTATCCATTTCAGAGGCGTTTTCTAGAACAGGGTATAACATTTCGAACGCACGAAAGCTCCAGTTTTGTAAGCAGCCATCACAGGAAAAAATAACGGGTTCCCATTTTTGGATATTTTTGGGTATTTTAAGAATACCCACAAAAATCCCAAATTTGGCAAAGTGAGACAAGTCCCAACCAGGGAATTCCCAACCAAGTTCCCAGATTGGGACTTGTCTCACTCTTCCAAATTTGGGATTTTTGTGGGTATTTTTTAAATACCCAAAAATATCCAAAAATGGGAATCGGTTATTTTTCCCTGTGCATTTGAAATTATTCAAGGACAGATTACTTTTAAAAATACGGTTCAATGCGTTAACAAGCGAACTGTTGTACTCTTTGCACCTTAGAACGGAGTATAAAAAATTGGCCCATTTCTAGAACGGGGTATCAGTTTTAGGGCGAATTCTAAAACGGGTATCAATTTAAGGGAAAATGTTTTTTAGAACGGGGTGCCAATTTGGAGTCCCGGGCGGCCCATACCCACCCAAAAAATACCCAAGTGCCCCCCCCGGGCGGTAGGGTCCTTTTAAGCGCTAATTTCTCAAGAAATATTTAGCATCAATGAAATCGGAATATTGCATATTGTATTACCGAATGACTCCTCTTGTTCTTTGCAATGGTTTTGCAGCCATCGTGTTAAAACCAAAAAAGTTATGATGCAGCATTTGTCACAGCTAAATGCTCCAGTATTAATGATGGAGTCACCTTAAGTTTCTTGTCTAATGTAGGCAACATGATGGTGATGATGGTGGAGAGACCAGGGACCAAATAACCTAACCACCGACCTTCCAACCACTCTTACAGAGTAGACCACCTTGCCTTCACGATTTACCAGGTCAGTTAGTCTTAAAATGTTGAATGTGGATCACTTAATTGTGAATGGCGATGTATAGGTGTTCGATACGCGAAATGTTAACTGAGAAATTGTAGAACTGTAATAGTTTCTTTACCACTCATCGCTATTCCCCTTTTTTCAAAATTCCGACAAAGACAAAGCCCTCATCCCCTCTCCTCTGGAAAGGACAAGGAATTTACCTGACTATCACAAGTTCAATCTCTGGATACCTTTTTAGAACATGATATTTTGCAGCAAAATAATGACTAATAAATGAATGAAACACTGCAGATTGTTGTAATATGAATGTATGATTTACGCGTCATTTAAAGCCACTTAAACCTGATGGGCTGACCCTGGGCTGGGGGGGGAGGGCACTTGGGTATTTTTTGGGTGGGTATGTGCCGCCCAGGACTCCAAATTGGCACCCTGTTCTAGAAAAAATTTCCCCTAAAATTGATACCCCATTCTAGAAATG